CAGTCAACTTGGCACATTTTACTTCCATAAAGTTGACAGTTCCAGTCTGTTGGAAAGATTTCTGGAACTTGGAGTTCTAATATGGACATCAATGCCACCTGGACAATTTCCCAATCACATTAAGTGGAATCCTTCGCCAAAATAGATGGGCTTTCTTTGCGGTTTATGGTTTATTTAGCAATTAACACTAATAGAAACTTTCGTTTCAGATAAATGTCCTTTATGAGTCATCAGTTAGAATTTTTTTTCTTTTTCTTCTCTCTGCTGTGACCATTTGCTGGTGAATGGAATGAGTCATGAAGGTTCCCACGCTCATCTTCACTTGCCTCAAGTGGTTTAGGATGGTGTGTTATGTAAGTAGCTAGAAGGTTCTATAGGCCTCCCTTTCCTAGCTACCGAACAAAATAGGGAAAAACACATGTAACGGAATGTATTAAAAAATGAAGTAATTGTAGTGGGGTTTAGAATCTCTACTTCACAAGATACAAAGATTATTAGAAGGTATTAGAACACTAATCTACCTTATTTCCTCCATAAAGAATACATCCTCTAAAAGATCAGAACTTTAGGTCAGTGATTAAAAGTAAACAGTCTTTTGATGGATCACTCAAGAAGTATTAGAATGTGTGGACAGTTTATAACTAGGATGATCATAGAATGTGTCATTTAAACAGACACTTTTGGGCCTCCCTGGTGGCACAAGGGGTTAAGTCTCAGCACTGTGAAGCTATCACCAGTCACTGCAGCATGAGTTCGATCCCCAGCCAGGGAGCTGACCCACCTGGTGCAGCAGACCTCTCCTGTCTCACCCGCTGCTCCCCACAGCAGTGTATTTCAGTAGATCTGCCTGTTCTGCTGCCCACTCTGTCTCTAGTGAAACTTCTCATCCCCCCACACCTCTGGCTTACACCCCAGTTCTATAAAAATAAATAAATATAAAAAGCAAACACAGACACTTTTAAAAGTAAAAGGCAGGATTAATATGGACACTGAGATAGCAGGAATAACACAGGGGGAATCTGAGGGTACACCTGAATTGCCGGTGATCTCTGTCCACAGTGCATACCTAATTTCAGCCAGAACACTCACATATTGGCAACACTAGTGGACGTGCAAATAGAATGTGGACAATTTAAATCACTTAAATATAAAATTGTATATAAGCAACGAGGTATTTTGTTTTTAGAAACAGTTCTAGTTTGAAGGGAAAATACCATTAAGCCTGTAGTCTTCACACTGAAATGAAGACCATCCAGAAAAAGAAGGTGGGTGAGAAAAAGATCTCAGAACCATGACATTGAGAAAAATTTCAAAGGTCTGAGGATTTTCAGCCAGAAAAGAGAAGATTTAACAATGTGGCATGAAAACTATTTGAATCCTTATAGGACTGTGATGAACAAGAGGGTTATAGTACTTATTTGCTGTGCCGTCAGAGGTCAGTGCTAGGATTAAAGGCTGTCAGAAAGGAGTGGGTCTTTGCTCAATCAAAGAGATCATTTTCCAACAAGGGTGAGTACACAGGAACAGAACAGGCTGTCATGTGAGTTAGTGAGTCCCCCAAATACCGATAGCACACAAGTAAAATTTGGACGATCACTTATTTTCTGGAACATGTAAAGTAAGCCAGGTCATATGAGTAACACTTAGCAAAATCCTTTCTTAAAATCTCAGCAATGCTATAGAGTCACTATAGTAATCAAAACATACCCAAGGACATAAACTTAGCATAGATGACACAGAGGTGAGCTACATTGATTTCTAAACCTCCTCCTGTAGTCAGGGTAATTTTCAATGGCTCCAATTGCTGCAAAACAGTAAGTATCTCAAGTAAGAAGCTCAAAGCAGATGACTATGGGCATGCTGCTTGAGTTTTCTCCCTTTATCTTGCTTCTGGTCTCCCTATTCTGGCTTCATGTGTAAGTGAGTTACAAGATATTGCAATATTCCTATCACCGGATCCAAAAAGAGAATATTCAAAAACTGAGAAAAGGTCTTCTCCCATGGTGCCTCCTTGTTAAATGGGAGAGAAGATCCTTGGCAGAAGACCTTTAGTAGATTTTCCCTTGCATCTCGTTAGCCAGAATGCCATCACAGGATTGCCACTAACCAATCATTGGCAAGGGGGGTAGAACTATCATAACTGAATTCCAATCAGGACTTATCCATGAGTCCAACATGGAGATGGAGAAACAATTAAAATAGAGTTGTGAATTTCAGTAAGATACATGGTAGGCCCTACTTTCTTAGTACTCTAGGTGGCTCACACAACAGTACCTGAGGACTCACTGAAAATGCAGAATCCCAGGCCCCACGCTGGAACTACTGAATAAAAATAATCTAGGCTTAGCAACCTAACTTATGTTGACATTCAAGTTTGCAAAAGTCTTCCCGATATTGCCTGCTATAGAAAGCCCAAGACTGTGTAACCTTATCCAATCACTGTAACAAAAATTTAAATCACAATGATCAAAACTGGGTTCTATAAAAATTCTTCTCTTCAGAAGATAGTCCATTCAAGTAGAGTCTGGGAGTTTCATTTTTTAATGTTAATTTAGGATGGTGATCCTCATGCCCAATACCTACTGTTTTCATGAAAACTCTGTGTGTGTGTGTGTGTGTGTGTACGCGTGCGTGTGCATACACACACAACGAAACTTAATCAGCTCTCATGCTTCTGTGGGTGGGAACCACCAGGGTAGAGTAGAGCACTGCTTCTAAAGAGCCATGCAACCACAAACATGCTCGACAATTCCACAGCCTCTTTCATGTGGAGTTTGATCAAATGCCTTTCTGATAATTGGGCTTTGGGGGAAAGGCAGGAGAAAGTAGTGATTTGTGAATTTGTATTTGAGGTTGACATATTGGAATATTACCATAATTTTGAAACAGCTAATATGCAAAAGACAACATGGCTCCATGGAGCCTTTGCTGGGATGGCACAGTAATTAATTGGTTGCATCATGGCCAAAGGTTATTATCTGAGCAGCTGCTTCTTTACAAAGCCTGCGTGATCTGTAGCCAAAGGGTTATCATGACAGGTGGGAAAAAAAGGGCGTGTTTATTTGTGATAGCATTGGTCGTTTTCAACTTGGAATTTGGAATTAATTCTATGCCCCACATAACTTCCCTGGGCAGGCTTTCTGCAGCCTTTGCCTAGGAATAGGAGAAGCAGCTCCACCAGATGGCTGACATGGCAATAGAGAGAGATGTATCCTCTTTAGGGGTAACCTGTCATCATCATGCTGGGTCCATGTGTCCTTCCTTTTGGGGGGCACAGAGCATTATTGATGCGTCTGATTTCATATATTAGAGAACATCCAGGGATGCTATTCATTACTGGACTATTGTCAATTTCACTGATGGGGCCACTTCCTGAACCTTCACAGGATTTACCTTCCACCTTTTGGAGTACAAGTGTCTTCCTGAAATTTCTCACTTCCTGTCATCTCTTGCTCACCCTGTCCAATCAGAATGACGTCATTGGTATGAAGGGTCCATGTAATTTTCAATGGGATATTCATGAAGTCCACATCTCTTCAGATGTTATGACAGAGGGTTAAAAAACACTGAGGCCAAATTGTCGGTGCCTACTGTTGTTTGTTTCATATGAATTCAGAGTCTTTTTGGTTCTCTTCAAATTGGAAAAGAAAAACAGGAAAAGTATGTCATGACTTTCCTGACAACCCAATATTAATCTGAGCAAGAAATAGCACATTTGATCCAGCAGCTGTGACTAGGTTTATGACTTGTTTTCTATTTATCATCTTATCCAGGGATGGCAGACTAGGGACAGAAGGATGATGGTAGGGTCAAGAGGTACCAACTCAGAACTTGTGTCCAACCACCCTAGAAATGTCAAGGTTCAGTCCCCACAGTGCCATGATATAGTCACAGAGCGAATCTCTGAGAAAAACTGGGAAGACGGTGAGAGAAAACACTTGCCATGATCGGACAAAATCCCCAGTTCTCAAAGGCTCATGGATGTTATTGAGGTGGCTGCTTCCATCTTGTATTCCTAGATAGCTCCCTTCTTTGAAAATCATACTTGTTGGGCAGCAATTCAAATTATGCTCCTTGGAATATTGTTGTCTTTCAAGTTTTTTTACAACTCCTGACTGGTTGAGCCCCCTGGATTACTCCTTCTATCTTAGTCATTATGATGACTGTGGCCTCTTAACTGCAAGAAGTTAAGTTCTGCTCCATGGCCCTTCTTATATCAACCCCATGAATAGCAAATAGTCCAATTCTGTGACAATGTCTTCAGCCTTGGGGTACAGATAAGATCCACTGTCAATCTCCTTGCTGATGCTATGCCCTTTGCATCCACATGTTAGCAATGGCCTTGGTGAAGAGTATTCTCTGGACCCACTTGTGGAACATACCTGTGATCAATCTTCTGGAATTACACAAATGCCCATACCAGCATATTCACTTTACTCTTCGTCTTTATTCATTCATCTACTATTTTCCAGGGCAACCCAGTCATTTCTACTTCACTGACAATGAACCACCATTTATCTTAGGCCACTGACAGCTAACTAAGCAATAGCTTTGCCCTGTTCCCTGAGATTATTGCTAGGATGTTATATACTGAATCCCAAGAGAGTAGTTGCAAATTAATAATTCTTGTTCACCCAGACTTGCATTCTTGTATCTTGATTAAGCATCCTCAAGAGCTAATACTTGCCGTACTTAGTTCCTGCGGGTATATGCAAATGAGTCCTTGCAACATTTTTCCCCCATAAAAAGTTCAGTGAACCCCCAGTCAGGTTATGCTAAATTTTAACCCAAATTACCAGCCTCAGAATGGAGAGAGACTGTGGAGGCTGTTCCTGAGGGAATACCAAACACTTTAGGGGAATTCAGAAGTTTGATTTTTTTCAAATTTTCCTTTTTTCAAATGCATCATCACATCTGTCATAATAGACCCCTCCACTGTGACACACTAGGGTGGTCATTATTAATTGAGCTGTGGCATCTATCCATACTCTGTCTCCCAGCCAGGATGACACTCTTAACCTGCAAGCTGGGAGGTGAGCCACAGCCCCTTCTTATTACCTTTCCTTGGACCATTTGGTACCATCTACCTTTACCTAGGTGAATCAAAAAGGCCAGGAACTTAAAGAGAGACTTTGTACCAAATTGGGTGACTAAGTAAAGGAGAGAGTGGGAAAATTCAGGGGAAAGTGACTTCGACCTCTGAGAAATCCAAGGAAAGCCTGGTAAGGCCGTGCAGAAGCAAAGTCCACTGCCAACAGTCTCACGTGTAGGTTATGAAAGGGCCTGCTTTTGCAGCCTTGTCACGCTGAATCCATGTTTGGGAGAATCTCATGGGCAAAGACCCATGACCAGAACTGGGAGCTGGATTTCAGTTCACCACCTAGGCTCAGGGCCAACTTCATGTCACACCAGGCTCCACAATCACCAGGGTGGTCAGTGTGCTTGTTTAAGGACTCTGCTATCATCTTGAAATGTTTAAAAAGTGTATCTTTGAACTTGTGTTGCGTAAGGGACAATGGAACACACACATACAGAAGTACATACATTGTGTGTATCTGCCATCACTTGCTGTCCTCTTCACATGGAGGGTTCATGGTGCCCCCCACCCCACACACACACACAAAGAATTCTGGTAGACCCATGATGTACAGGCATTCAAGCAAAAATCAAAATCAGTCCTTGGTAAGCCTGTTAGGTCTATGACTGAGTTAGAAGAGGCCAAGAGGTCATGAATCAAAACCAGTTTTAAATGAGAATGAAGACAGGGCCTTCCAAGAGACATGACTGACCAAGAATCCACATCACAACTTGCATTACTACACTAAGCAATCACTTGTGCTGAAAGCGATGACACAGAAAGGAAAAGGTAGGGCAACCTAGAACTCCTTTTTTTGTGTCAGTCTATATTCATGACAAAGGTCAGCTAGAGAATGCCACTGTCAGGATGTACGAGTATCCAGAAGTGAAATAAAAACGTGTCAGCTACTTTTTGTGCAGCATTCATTTTTCTGGTAAAACATTTGCATGTTCAAGCTACAGAATATGAACTGCATAATTCAGTGAATCCTGAACATTAGTTAAGGGACCTTACATGTACATTCACAACTGATACAACACAGTGCAAAAATGGTGAATTTCAAGTCAGTGATTAAAAACATTAACTTTATTTTACCCCAGAACATTAAATGTCAAATTTAATAAAACAAAAAACATTAAAGAGATTACAAAAGAAAGAAAAAAGTGTAGCTTTTAGTACTTTTCTTGACACATGTTTTTCCTGTCTTTGAACAAACAACCCCACATCATATTTTTAAAAAGGTCTTGCAAATAATGCAGCCCTTGGGCAATGATGTCCCTGCTAGTTGAAGGTCTGCAGATTGCATTGCCACAACTGTCACATGAGTTTTGGTTACAGAAAATCTGGGCTGCACACCTTAGACACCTCAATCTTGATTATGTGTTTAATTCACTCATATATCCTCTCAGGATAGATATCCCCTCCTTTTTATGTCATAACATATTTAAAACTCCCAGGGTGGGGATACTTTCAACAATGTTCCACAGCCTACACTAGCACAAGACACAGAAGGTGATGATTACATATGTCAGTCAAACTTAGTATGGGGGTCCACTCTATCCCTTCCTCAAAATGTGGCTAACCTCTCCCAGGATTTGCTGTTTATTTTCCCCTTAGATGTTGAAACTGTGCTCTGTTGTCAGACTGCCTAGCATTCAATTCTGACCGCACAATGCAACTTGAACTGACAAATTGCTTAAATTTGGAAAGATCATTTTCTTTAGCTGTAAAATGAGGCTAGTCTGGAGCGATTTGTGGTAGGAAAAGACATCTATCATAGTTGGTATGCACACAGTTGTCAGTCAGATTCACTGATACAGCCATAGAGTAGAATGTTACATATAAACACTTCAAATAAAGGGGCATCAAAATATGTAAAGCAAATAGTATCAGACCTGAAAAAAAAAAAAAAGCAGGGGACTTCAACATCTCCCTTGCAACAATGGATGGAACAAAGAGACAGAAACATAAGAGGTTTAAATGAAGAATTAGACCACATGAGCTTAATAGACATTTATAGGGACCTACAGCACCAAGGCTGGGTACACATTCTTCTCAAGTGCACATGAAACATTCTCCAGGATAGACTCATGCTGGGTCACAAAATGAGTGTTAATAAATTTAGGAAGATTGAAATCACGTCAAACATGAGCACAATGGTATCAAACTAGAAATCAACCACGAAAAGAAAGTGGAAAAATCTCTGGTAAGTGGAGACTAAGCAACATGCTACTGAATAATTATTGGTTAATGAGAAAATCAAGGTAGAAATAAATAGCTGAAGACAAACAGAAATGAAGATAAGAGCTGTCAGAATCTATGGGACACAACCAAAGCAGTACTAAGCAGGAAATATACAGTAACACAGGCCTAAATCAAGAAATAATAGAAAGTTCAAACAGCTAACTTTATACATTAAGGAACTGGAAAAAGAAGAGCAAATGAAACCAGAAGACAGTAAAAGTAAGGAACCTATATAAAGTTTCCCTTTTAGAGTGGAAATAAGGTAGAAATAAAGAATATAATACAAAAGATCAATGAAACCCACAGCTGGTTCTTTGAAAAGGTAAACAGAAAACCTATATGTGTGTTCATTAAAAGCAGAGAGAGAGGGCTTCCCTGGTGGCACAGCGGGTTGAACACAGTGGTGTGAAGCTGTCCTTAGCCTCTGCAGCGCGGGTTCAATTCCCGGTTGGCCAGGGAGATGCCCACATGGCGCGGCAGACCTCTCCTGTCTCGCCTGCTGCTCCCCTCAGCAGTGTATTTCGTCAGTCTGCCTGTTCTGTTCCCCACTCTGTCTCTGGTGGATCCTCCCACCCTCCCACACCTCCGGCCTGTACCCAAGGTATTGTATAAATAAAAAATAAATCTATAAAAAAATAAAAAAATAAAAGCAGAGAGAGAAAAAGATAATGAAGAGAATCATAAATGAAAGGGAGGTTATAGCAAACATACAGCTAAAAGACTACTATGAACATCTTTATGTCAATACATTGGATAATCTAGAAGAAATAGACTAATACACACTCCCAAAACTGGAATCATACACACTCCCAAAACTGAGTCAGGAAGAAATAGAAAATTTGGAAAAAAGCAATTACAAGAACGGAAATTGAAAGAGTACTCAAAATCTCCTCCAAAACAGATACCCAGGATCAGATGGTTTCACCAGTGAGTTCTACTGAACATTTTTCTTTATTTTTTTAATATTTTATTTTCTATAATTCTTACATAATTTTTCATCTTTGCACAATGTATGCATTTTCATTTTGGTTATATTCCCCATACAATTGCACCCCCCCTTATTTTGACTCTAGTCCTTCCTCTCCCCGTCCCCTCTTCCCCCCATACCCTGTAGTGTGTCTCTAGTTTATAGTTGCTTGTTGATTTTGATTTTTACTTTGTATTGACTAGTCTTTTTCCTGGTCTCTTATTTAAGTTTTCTAAATTCCTGCTATGAGTGAGACCATCCGGTATTTTTCTTTTTCTTTCTGACTTATTTCGCTGAGCATGATCCCTTCTAGCTCTCTACTGAACATTTAAAGACAAACTCATCACTATCCTCCTCAAACTCTTCCCCCAAAATGAATTAAGGTCAGTGTCCCCCCCAAAATATTGAAGATTTTCACAAGGAAAACATCTATAACTTCCCAATAGCCAGTTCCCTCAATACAACCAAATTTTCTGAGGGAAGGATGAGAATCCATATACGTCAGCACACAGCAGAGGAAAGGGTAGAAAATTAATATTTGCAGCAACTTTAAGGATACAGCAAAATAAGTAATAAGGATCACTTAATAAAAAACTGAAGTTCCCCTTCAGCTCTTTACAATATCAATCAACTAAAGCTCACTAAGCAATTCAGAATAAAAATGTCTTATATATATATATGTAAAAATGAGTAACATTTTTTATCTTCTTTAGCTTATCCTTTAAGTGTTAAAAACCTTCCAAAACTGGAAGACACAATGTAACTACCAATTGGCTGTATCCCCCCCACACACATTCTTACGATTTTTAAAGATCTGTAAATTATTTTTAAAGTGATGGGAGATAAATCTTAAAATAACGATGGGAGATAAATCTTTAAAGAATGAATATAGAGATTTGAGCTATTCAGGCAAAGGTAGTAGCTGAGAGAATACATTTAAATTCAAGAATTTCATAAAAATACAGACAAAATTTCCTCCTCTAAAAAAAGCAATAAATAAAGCTACAATGTCCCCTGTTGATCCTGGATCTTTATTTATCAGCGGAAGTTATTTTTCATTGGCAGACTCAGTCCTTCTTACACTTTCCCATAGTCTTGCTAATATTTAGACCACTTTGTTATGTGTGTGCGTGTGTGTGTGTGTGTGTTTCTACTCATTTGGTCACATTGCTTTAGGGAAATTCTATTCATTACAAAATATCTTGTCCTTATTGATTTCCTATCACTTTTAGTTGGGTGAGTGGGTCATAGGAAATTGATTCTTCTTGTGCTTGACTCAACATTTAAAAAATTTCAATTGACTTTTAAAGTCTCTTGGAACAAAACTGAAATAAGATGCAAAGTAGACAGGAATTACATGCTTAATTATGAGCTTAAAAAATTACACTCCTGAAAGACATATCCCAATGTCATGTTTTTGCCTGGATCTGTCATCTAACCACATATGTGTGGCAAGCTTAACAAGGTCACAAGTGATAAATTTTTTAATTTATCACCACTTGGGCTGGATCCCCAAATGCTATCTAAAGTCCCTATTCCAGCATATTAACATATTCATCTTAAAATTAAAAAAATACTTCTTTTCTTAAAGTTAAACAAACTTTAATCAATCAAATAAAAATTTGTATTCAACATTTTCACAGAATAATTCATGCTCAGTTCTTCACTGTGAAGATTGACACACGGGAGTAGATTTTCTCTCAGTTTGCCATCAAGGGCGTTATATCATTTCTGTGCTTAATTCCTGCTTGGAAGTTAAAAGTATAGTTTTATAAAACTTTATCATTACATATTTTGAGTTACGACAAAAATTCCTGTGCAGCTAATCAAAAAAGTTTCAATGGAGGTAAGCACTTGCGTAGCCACGGATGGTGCTTGTCAGGTGTGGGAGGGGGTGCTGAATAAAAATCAACAGGTGCCAGTGTACTTTCTTGACTTACCGTGAAGACATGTTGATTGTGAATTTGTGGAATCTGTCAATGCAGTTCTGTGCTACTCAAGATTGGCAGAGAGAATTTAAATTTCAAATGCTTTTGCTTGACTAACAGAGAACTGGAACCATATGTCTTATGTCCAAGAGACAGTGCGGTCAGCAGGACAGAGGCTGTACCTGCCACTTGGGAGCTAAGAGCAACAAATGCAAGGTCTGAAACTGACAGGCTGTAACTCACAAGTGTCCGAAGCCTGCCCTCAGATAGTCTTGGGCAGCTCCCACTGGGGCTTTAACTGGGAAGTCAATTGAATTTCAGGACCTGAAAGGAACTCTTGGCCTGCTGGGAGCAACTATTCTCTGTTGGAACATGGACAAGGAGTTTTAGGTAATCGTCAGAGACTAACAGTAACCATCTGGATAAAAATTCAATTGTTCCCTCACGCTATACCCAACTCTGGACCCAGGCACATACATCCAGACACAACTAAACTTTAGCCTCCATTTCACATCAATTAGACATCACACTTCCTGTGTTTGAGTTTCACTCATTATTCCAGTCAGCAATGGGAACCTTACAAAGAGAATACTCTCACTCTGTGAAAATCTGAGCCCTCTGACCCCTTGCCACCCAGGAGGAAGGGAGTACACATGTAAGAGACCATGACTACAAAATGAATTATTAAGGAGAGACGTCTATCCCAAATAATCATCGCATTCAAAACAGCTTCTGTGGCGCCTTGACCAGTTGTCCAGAAAAACACTATACATATGGGAATCTTAAAAGCAAAAGGAGACGTTGAAGTCATCATTAAATCAATCCATCTAGCCACCTAATCTGCCATCTCCATTATTTCTGTGTAACATGTGTCTTTGGAAAATATAAGCAGAAGAGGTTATCTTGGAATTTAAATTTGAATGAAAAACACCACCAAGAAAATCATCAACACAGATGCCTGTCCTTATGTGCAGAAGGAATTCTGGGATAAAGGGTAAAGTGTGAGATTGTTAACGTGCACGTGTTTGGGGACAAGGTAATATTTAATCAAACCTCATAAAATCCAGACATAACTCAGAGGAGAAAAGGAGAAATTGTTCTGGATGAAAAATTAATATGGAATGGAGATATTCTAAAACCACAAGTAATTTAACCAGTGACTTTTCTCAAAGCAAAACTCCTTCCCCTGTATTGTAACAAAAACCAGGTAAATCACTGTAACTGTGGATGCTTTTCAACACATGATAGGATTAATGAGGAAGACAAATAAAGCCTACTGTAAATTTCTTAACAGGAACATGGCAAAAATGAAACTTATGGAGGTTATTTTTTCCTAGTGAAACTGTGTAGATATTAGCATAATAATCCAATTAGCCATATCTTTCAGTTGTTTATTATGGGAGCTGTATAAATACAGCACAAACACATCATGTAAATGATCATTTCCATATCTTCTTATGTTGGCATCATTGAACCCACTCAGAATCATTAAATCTGGATATGACCACTATCCTTACAACAGTTTGCTTAAAACATGCATCCTGTATATACTTGATTTTGCCTGATCTCCAATGTTTGGCCCATAATGAGCCAAATGTACAGAAAATCCTGAGTAATTAGTTGTCGTAATGAAACTCTGTCAGTAGAGATACCCAGGTGGTGAGTATCTGTTCTGGTGAATTATCTGTGGACAAAGAAATTATCCACTTACAACTAACACTATATCTGATTATGCCCTCCCCCAAAATGGATTAGACAGTCACACTTGGAAGTACTTTGCACTGAGCTAGAGATTGCATTTGGCAGTATCTCTGAATTGGAAATGAATTCAAATGAAGCAGCATTTGACATCCTTAATGAAATTTGATGTTGCAGTTTCCAGTATTTAACAGCAGAAAAATAGTGCAGAGTTTCGTTTTAAGAGAAAAGGGGAAGGAGGGAAAGGAAGAAAAGAAATAAGGAAAGGAAGGTTGGACTGAGCTCTTGAGAGTTCACAAAAGGTCTTGAGAATACATAGTTAATCTGTTGCTGTCTCTGGTGGCACAAAAGCTATTATCTGTCAATGGTAATGATGGCCAAGCTGGGGTCCTTCCAGCAGAACCACCCAAGTGCTTACATTGGTGAATGTAAACAAACAAAATGCCCTATTCAAGTTATCTGAACTAAAGGAAGTTTTTTTTTTTTTTTTCATTAAAACATTAAAAAAAAAAAAATACTTTCATGCTACTGAAGACCAGACCGTTTGAAATTTCAAGTTGCAAGACCACATAAAACACTGTGGTTGTTCAGAGGCTATTTCATGATCAATAAGAAGGAAACATGAATGAGCCCTCCCTTCAGTCACATATATTTGTTACAGGGCAGGGATGGGGTACCCCAGAACACCGTGCCCGCTCTAAATAGGTTCTGTCATCTACTGCATCAAGACAAAACATACTCCAGTGCATAAGAGCTTTAATGGAAAGGAACTTTAATACATACAATTAGTGTGTAATACAGAAAAGGGGAAGAATAATGTTTCCAAATTCAGCACCTGAAGTTACCCTGTCCCCCAGTGAATAAATGTCCAGCCAAAAAGGGTTGGCACAAAGCAGGACTAGTGAGGCCTGAAGGCCTGCCATGAGTCTAAGGCACCACCTGGTGGGGACCCACAGAGAAGGGCCAGAAGGACCCCAGCACGTCTGGGACAGAAGGAGCAAAACCAAGATCAAGATAAACGCTGCCTTTGTAAACCTCCACACAGGTCTCTCACACACATTGGTGTCACCCAGTCCAAGACCAAGAAGCCAGTGGAGCTTCTTCACATGTCTCTCTGCTCATTGTGTCTCCTCCAGGTCTCCTTCTTGCTCTCCATCCTGCTTCCTTCACACCTCTAGTCTCCTCACAGGCTTCTCCTCCCCGCTCAGCTCCACCCTTTCTGGGTTGGGGCAGGCAACCTGGAATCTCCCCTTTTCCTGGGCACCACCCTGTTACATATATAGAAGGAAACAATCCAAGCAGAACAATCTCGAAATAGCTCTCCTAAATGTACAATTATAATTTCCTCTTTATCCAGGCCTCTGTCTCCCAAACTGAAATAAACTCTCCTCCCACTGAATAACCATTGTGGTGTTTTAATTGACAAATCAACTTATTATTTTTTCTGTCATGCAGACTAAAAGCATTCTGTACAGAGGGATCCTCCTCACTGAATCATCTCAGTTTCTTTTACTAAATAGCATGTACATAGTAGCCTCTCAGTGGCTGCTGATGCCAAAAAGTGGTTTCATGAGACTCACAAGAAGGAAATCCCTTGAATCTTTATAGTTATTGGTGTCTAACAGGGCAATATTATAAAGTCTCTCAAAAAAGGATCAGCTTACATTCAAAATTTCTACCTCCAGACCTCCTTAGAGGCACAAGAGGTTAAGTCTCAGCATTAGGAAGCTATCCACAGCCACTGCAGCTCAAGTTCGATTCCCTGCCAGGGAGTTACCCACATGGTGCAGCAGACCTCTCCTGACTCGCCCGCTGCTCCCCTCAGCAGTGTACTTCAGTCAGTCTGCCTGTTCTGTTCCCCACTCTGTCTCTGGTAAATACTCTCACCCCCCAAACCACTGCCCTGTACCCCAGTTCTTGTATGCATAAATAAATAAATCTTTAAAAAAAAACAAACAACAAACAAACAAAAGTTCTACCTTCAGGACTTTTTTGGGATCTTAAAATTTCTATATTTTATATTTTGTGTTTCATTCAATCCTAAAGTCAAATGCATATTTGAAAGTGCTTTCTTAGAGATGGATAAGTAACTGCTATAATTTGCAACAAATAAAGTTTCACAGATTGAAGACATTGCCACTAGTTTTAAATGCCAACTAGTGCATCAAGAAAATAATTCTCTGAAATAGACAGTTGTTTCTGTTTAGTTAGACATGCATTAACTATTTCACCAGAAATATCTGCTCTGGAGAAGTTTTATCAGGAATAGAAGAATGTATTTTCAGAAATAATGTTGGCTTCTATAAGTGCCATTTATTACCCACAGATACTTCAGATACAGTTTGATGAGTGCTAATTGTTTGATATTATTTAGCACAAAGGGAGCAGGAGACAAGACATCTAATTGATGCATTAGTAATCATCAAACCTCCAAAAGTGGCAGGAGGCACTTTTAACAGCCATCATTTTCTTTGTAGGGGATCTGCTCTGAACAAAATGGAATATTCGCTGTTTGTTCCACCTTACATTTATTTAGCAGGAACCATTATCATCCATCGAAAGCACACACATTTACAGAATAAGATGAATAAAGCAACAGCGTTTTGAATAAGCAGCTCTTGTCTTAGTAAGTGCTTTCGTTTTTGCTTTGGGACCTTGTCAGCTTGAACAGGCTCTTTCACTGAGGTGAAATGGCTCTTTTCTAGTCATTATTATATATTGTTAATCTGTAGTGATGGAGAAATTAGTAGCTCTTTTCTTGATCTCCTTTCCTGAGTCATCATTCTTTGGGGTTTGATTCTAATAATTAGCTTTGGGGAAAATAAATAGAATGAAGGTACTATTTGCTGTGATTCTATAGGGTCAAAATATGTCAGTTTTCCATTGTAAATATCTCTCTCTAGCAACCACTGTAAAAATTGATCCCTGGGCTACAATTTAATATTTCATTCTGCATTTCTTCCTTTTTCTCTTACTTGTCTATTTAAGTCTTGGAATGAATGGGAACGTATTCTGGTGAAAAATTTCTTTTCTATTGCTAAAAATGGTAAATGGAAAAAGACATTATTGTTCAATAAGAAAGAAACTTGTATCAAGGTTAATTGGTGTTTTTAAATAATGTGTAAAAAACTGCTTCCCCTGAAGGAGGTTTTTCCTCTAACAGCAATAACAAACAATAAAACTTGGTGTTTGAAATCTGGCACTTGAAAAACTATTGCCCCCTAGTGAAATTGCTCTGGCTGAAGCTCCAGGTTCTAGAACGTTCTAAGGTGTAAGTTGAAAGTAGAGTGTGAGATTAATGCCCTTTTCCCATACCATTTACTTTTCTTAACATTCCCATCCAGAGCTTCCCAAAGTGAAAACAAATTTCTGAAAAAGACAAAATATTTGGTACAGATCAAAATTGTCTAGTCAGAGATGAAACAAGTTGAATAACCTCTCTGAGCTTCAGTCTCCTCCTCTAGAGATACAGATACCTGGAAACATGTTATAAAGACTCCATTATTGGGGCCATCCTGGTGGCCTAGGGATTAAGTCTCAGTGCAATCACTGCCAGGGCCTGAGTTCGATCTCCAGCCAGCAAGGTGACCCACATGTCACAGCAGACTTCTCCTGTCTCATCTGCTGCTCCCCTCAGCAGTATATTTCAGTAGATTTGCCTGTTCTGCTCTCTGCTCTGTCTCTTGTGAATCCTCTCACCCTCTACTTCTCTGGCTTATACCCCAGTTCTTCTATGGAAAAAAAAAAATATTTAAAAAAAGGGACTCCATTATTACAGTGAAGTCTGCTGAATAAAAATAAATTATACTACCTACCTATATTGAACCATGCTTAAATTCTAAACATTTTTACAATTTCCCAAAATACTGTTGCCAATCCCAGTCAATGATCCATTCTTTGATTTGATTTATTCATACAAGGAATATTCAATGGATGCCCTATTGGTGCCAGATTATATGATACAGCCCCCAGAATTAGTTCCTATCCTTACAAAACTTAGAGATTAAAAGAGAGGCAGACATTAATTAAACACAAAGCAGATTAACACTGGAGAATATAGGGAGGAGAGTAGTTCAACTGTGGGGCCTTCTAAGGAAAACAAAACAATGTGAGATTAAAAAAAAAAAAAAATCCAGAATTCTTAACGTTATTCAATGTTTTCCTCAGTTAGAGGATTCATTTTGCTTTAGTTCACTTATGTTCTTTTAACTTTCACCAAGAAGAGTGGTAAACAGCAAGCTATGACAAAAAAATCCAATTGGTTGATACCATTTTAATCCAAGCTTTTTCTATTTAATTCAAATATAAATATTTGTGTCCATTAGAAATTTCCACTAATGCCTAACTCATCTCTACTGTCTACATTGTTTTGAAAAGATTTATAAACATTCAAACCAATGACCTCTCAGCAAAATGAGTAGAAATGATAGAGTTGGCACATTCTCAAAGAAGCAAAATTTGTCAACCAACCAACTAAGCTTTGACATTGAAAGATGTAGCTCACTTAGTGTTACATCCAAGAACACAGTCGACAATTGCTGGATACTTGTGTTGGTGCTTATGCTGTTATCATTCTTTGTTTGCTTTCTCTCTTCTTCCTCTATTATCAGTGGAAAGTCCCACAGGATAGTGAGTGCTAATAGTTGCCAAATCTGGTCACCACAGAACTACTACTAGAAACAGCCCAAAGCAAACTGTAACTAGTTATAAAATACATGCATAGGAAAGGATATAATGGTAAAGGCATTAGGGTTGTTTTGATCAAAGCCAAGACAGGCTAGTTAAGCCAATTTGGATTGCCTTCTTTAAAAGGCAGTTGAAAACAAAAGGCAATTTTTCATTCTTCCTTGATCACCCAATCTTTCTTACACATAAAAGCAAAGAAACAGGGAGGGCAGTCAATTTCCTATTTCTCTAAAAGCTGCAGGAGGAAAACCTAGGAGTAGACCAAATTCCTTGTAAGTCATATTCTATTCTTGCTTTTGTATTCACAACATGTTCACAAGAAATAATTCCAATTTTCAAGTCAGATTTTAAATCTCAATTATTCCACTCACTGAGAAAAGGAACATACAGAAAAGCACAGAAGAAAGATGTATTCCAATTTTGCTGTGACAAAAAAATGTTCCCTTGGAAACAGTAATTGTTGGTGCATTCTCCATGAGGTTTACACAAAACTTTGGGGAGAGTTCAGTTCTCGGTACTATAAAGCTGACTTTTGAATATGATTTTTTTTCCTGCTCTCTACAAAGTAGAATTTGATTAAGAATTTAAAAGGAATCTTTTATATGAAAATGGGTTATCTTTGAAGAGGGCTGAACAATTTTCACAGATTTCAACTCAATCAACATTGCCTATCTCCTGAGAGGCCAGAATTGACCTACGTCTTTAGACTATATGGATGAAATGGACAATCTCAAGGAGTCCTTGGTTTAGAAGGTGAGATGAAGTGAAAGAGAACACAGAATTAAAGCGCATATGTTGTGAGGGTGATTGTGAATAGGACTTTTAAAAATGTATCTGGAAAATAAACACGGACACAGCATTGCTGTTGATAATCTGAGGCAGAAAAGTCACTGAGTCCTCAGCCAAGTGGGTCTAATGGTGGTTTCCGAGAACAGAGACAGGTGGTTGACTTTGGTGCTTAGATTGGGCTGGTGGAGAAGCCTAGATAGGGGAGACAGCCCAATCAGTACTTGACAACCAACTTCTCAGGATTCTCAGAGAAAGGAAGAGATAAGACATAAGAACCAGATATCCAGCAATTCTACTCCTAGGTATTTACCCAAATGACACAGAAACAGTAATTCCAAAGGGCACCTGCACCCCTATGTTTATAGCAGCACTATATACAATAGCAAAGTTATGGAAGCAACCCAAATGCCCAAAAATGGATGACTGGATCAAGAAGATATGGTACATATACACAATGGAATATTACTCAGCAATCAAAAAAGACAAACACATGCAGTTTGCAGCAAACTGGATGGCGCTAGAAGGGATCATGCTCAGCGAAATAAGTCAGAAAGAAAAAGAAAAATACCAGATGGTCTCACTCATAGCAGGAATATAGAAAACCTAAATAAGGGACCAGGAAAAAGACTAACTATAACAAAGAAAAAATAAAAATCAACAAGCAACTATAAACTAGAGACACACTATGGTGGAGGGGTGCAGAGAGAGGAAGGATTAGGGTCAAAATAAGGGGGGGGTGCAATTGTATGGGGAATATAACCAAAATGAAAATGCATACATTTTGCAAAGATGAAAAAAGATGTAAGAATTATATAAAATAAAATATTTAAATAAAGAAAAGAACCAGATATAGCTGAAAAAGATGAGTTAGACACAAGAGAGAATTCTGAGTTCCTTCTGTACTAAATGACCACTTGAATTGACTTAATCAAGACAGGTAACTTACTGGTTTGCATAACTAAAAAGTGCAGGCCAAGACTGCTGGCCCAGGAGGTTGATAGAAATCTGTTTCCCTCTCTCCTATGGGATTTATACTCCTCAATGTTAGCTGCTTTTACAGGCAGACAGTTAAGGTCAGAGGCAGCAATAGGCTACTTTATCTCTAATCTATAATCACTTAGCCCAACAATTTAAGCAAGAAAATAACTTTTTTCCCCCAGATGGTTTGACAATTGAATATGATAAGTCAAAACCCTGTCTGTGGCATATTCTCGCATCGTCATCTCAAAACCAATCTCTGTGTACATGTTAGGAATTGTGTCCAGCCACTATAAGGACGATGAATGAAAGAAACCAGAAGTTTGTTTCCACCTTACATACAAGACCAAAGGCATGTTGTACAGGACTACTATGCCCACTTTATGGTGTAAGGTCTGAAAAGAAAGACACAAAACTGTCAATTGAGTATTTAAATATATTTATGTGGATGTGCATAGATTGAATGTATTAATTTCCAGTGCTATATAGCATTCCAAATTATGATTATGCTATCATGTATGTGTGTGTGTGTGTGTGTGCATTATCTGGGTTATCTGATTTGTTTTACTTCCTCTTTCTACTTCTTTATTTTTTCTATTACAAACATGTTTGCCATACACATTTTTGTGCAAGTCTTTTGTGAGTATTATCTAGAAAATGTACGTAGGAAGAAGTTGCTAAATCATCTTCTACTTTTCACTGTTTTGACAAGAAACACTTGAAATTTGCTACAGTAATTTGTACTCCGCTAACATATATCTAAGTTTCAATTCTTTTATAAGTATTTTCTATTGTTAGGTTTTTAAAGCATTTCACAATCTGCAGGTACAAAGACGGGAACTGGTATTACTTTCATAACTAATTCTAACTTTTTAATAAATATACTGGTTTTTATCAGGTCAGGTTCTTATTCTGTGGAATAATCATATTTACCTGTTGTCATTTTTTTCTGTTAAATTATTTTCTTTCCTAAAAATTTTAAAAAGTTCTTTATGTATTGTAGATTTTATTTCTTTGGTATTTACTCAATTTGAAAATAATCATCTTCCAGTGAGTGACTAGGCTTTAATCTTGTTTCAGTGCTTTTTGCACAGAAGACTTTAGATTTAATGCAATATCAAATTTATTCATGTGTTTCTCTATGCCTTTGATATTTAAGTCATTTATAGACAAGAGCAGACACATACATAAATGTATAGATATGCACATATATTTGAGGTGGCATATTCATGTACTGGAATACTATATAACATTGTAAATAATTAAATTCAATCTACATATATCCACATAGATATATATTAAACATTCAATATTTAATAAAAGGCAAAGACAGAAAGTATATGTGCAGCATTTAGCTTCATTATAATTTTATAATATAACTATATTTAGAAGAATAGACACAATTTCGGTCATGCTATCTAAGGAAACGATAATCACTAAACAAGGATAGTATTTATCTCTAAATGGAAGGAGTGAAATGGAATTGGTAAAAGATATCTAGGAAACTTCAGTCCACATTTGCAATATTTTACTTTCATGTGCTGCTTAAAGAGATGCCATTGGGCCACTTTGTTGTTATGTGAATGCCTGAGGCTATACAAACTCTTAGGGCTATATCAGAAGGATGAGAAGGTAGAACCACAGATTGCATTGTAGGAAAAGTATGTGTCCTCATGCACAGTCTCTCTGGAGATGTTGCTGTGTTTGAAAAACATGGGACCACAATCAATTGACACTGACATCACTGCCTTTGACAGATGGATCCACAAAAACATCACTAGCAGGCAACAAATTCTTTCCCATGGTAATCTATTCAGTATTGTGTATGGACAAGAAGAAATACACTTAAGCGTAGCCCCTGAAGGAACTCCATTAGGATGGGCTTCTGCTGAAGAACGTATATGGAAACAAAATCTAGTTTGGGCATAGGTATTTCTGAAAATGTTGGCTGAGGGAACTCTGAGGGATCCTGTGGTGACACCCCAATGTTAGTCATTGAGCACAACATGACTTATGCTTCTGGAACAACAGGACATTGGGCTACTTCAATTTGTTACACATTTTCTTCTGTTTTCAAAAAGTCTGAAAAAAGGAAAAGTCATGGAACAATCTGGAGCTTGTGATCTTTAAGCAGTCACCTTACTTGATTGACTATTGGTTTCTTAATCTGGAAGGTGAAGGGATTATATTATACATGCTCTTCATTAATAATCTTCTGTTTCTAGGAACTGAAGTAGCTTGTTAATAAAGCAGGTATAGCTGAGCATAAGTACAGAAAAGTGCAAAACTTCCCAAAGGTAAAATCACCTCAGCCTAGTCCCTCAGGGGAACTACTGGTTTGCCATTTAACTGCAAGGACACAAGCAGTGCAACTGTTTCAAAGCTGTTTTCTGAAGGGCTGTGGGGCCCTCTCTCACTAATGTGTGCTCCAGGCATAAAGACCCTTTAAGGATTTCTTTTAGAGAAATAGGAGATTTAACTAAAATGTGGAAATAAGATTACTTGAAGTGGAAGAGGACTGAAGACTTGGAAAAAAAAATACCTGAGGTAGAATTAATTTAACTGTGGGCAAAATCTGTGAGAGAGGATAAGAGAGAAGGGAGTGGGTGGTATGGCCCAAGGCAAAGAATTAATTCTCTTAAAAGGTGAAAGAGTTGGCTGAGTACTTGTTAATGTCCTCTTTCCAAAAGGAAAATGGGGAAATGAAGTTCCAGCAAGCCTACACATGAAAAGGATATTACATAAAACTATAGTTATTCATCAAGCTGCATTTTCTAGTCTTTATCTTTAAGTCTACTTTATCTGGGCAGTAATTACAAATTTAATAGCTACATTTCCTTTGGATTTTTTTTTTTATTTGGAGCTTCTTAAGAGCTGCTGACTAAAGTTTTAGAAGATGATGCAAAAATGCAAAATTTGTTAGTGGAGAAATAATGCAGTGAGAGGGATTCTTGCCCTTCTGACCCAGAAACATAATGATAGGATAATGATGTTTTCCTCTAGATGTACTGTAAGGTTGCAGCTGCAGACCTGATGACCCAGGCAGGGAGCTGGCTGCTAACACACACACTCTGGAAGTGAAAGAGTCCATCAAACCAGATCAGACAGATTGCTTCCATGATATAAATTAAACCCTTGCCAGCAAGACTCACACAAGACAGCATTCTCAATGAAAAGGGTAAAACAAAAATTGTATTAGCTGTGTCACCTTAGGCAAAGGCTTTCCTTTTCCTGAGTTCTGTCAGAAAATTCTGCTTTGCATTCCAGATTCACTTTCTATGCTTGGTCTGTGCCAGCATGCGCTTCCTAAGTGTTGCCTTCTGGTCTACCACACAACCCAACCATTGCAATCCCAGGTATCTACTTGAAGAATGTAAAAGCACTAATAAAAAGGGACAGATGAACTCCTGTGTGCACTGCAGCACTATTTACAAAGTCAAGCTATGGGAATAACTTAAGTGCTCCAAGACAAAGGAGTGGACTAGAATCATGTGCTATGTATACATAATGGAAAACTACTCAGCTACAAAGATAAAAGATTAACTCTTGTATTTTGGGAGTTTCTGGAGACAATTATGCTAGGAGAGACACGTCAGAAGGAGAAAGACAAAGACTGGGTAGTGTCACTTTTGTGTGGAATACAGAGAAACAGGGTCAGATAAAACTAACCGTATATATTTGACTGCAGAATTAGGGTATGAGGGGAGGTGGGTAGAAGAGGAGAGCAAAGTAGGAAGGCATCAGAGACCGTGCTGGAGGACATTCATTGCCTTGGTGGTAGGTGTGCTAGGTAACCCACCTGAAACATGTAATATTTTACCTCTAAATCATATACAATGTTATAAACCCACATTACCTTGATTTAAAACAAGAGGCATTTAAGATTGTAAGTGACAGAGTCTACTTAAATATCCTCAAACAAAGAAAATAACACATTGGTTACTACACCTGGGATAGATATAGAACGTCTATCTTCAGGTATGGCTTGACCTAGGAATTTTGTCATGTCATGAGAAGATCTATCTAATTTTCTCTCCCCACTTAGCATTTCTTTCCCCTTATAGACCTCATCCTCAGCTGTACTCTGCAAAGTGACAATAATGAAAATCCTTACTAATATTCAGCAATGATAATCCTTACTAAAAAACTCTAGAAGTTTTGACTTCCAGAGAAAGCACTGTAAATTCTGACATCCATGTCAATGCTGCAGGAAGAATTCTGGCTGACTTATTTTGAGTCATTTGCTACTGAGGACTCAATCAATGATTCCAGAGCGCAAGGGTACTCTGGCCAGCCTGGCATCACTGCCAAATGCTTTAGTGCCGGAAGGGAAGCCACGTGATGGTCTATCCCATTGTGTCAGGACATCTCTAAATGGAAAAGATCTAAGCAGACCAAGAAGGCAATAGAGCTATCACATTCTTCGCTTCAGTTTTTGTGACCGAGACAATGCCTGACTGCGTCCCTCACTTTTCTATAACCCTCAACATTTCAATCTTTTAAAACAAACAAACACAACACATTTCTGAGTACCTAATAACTTCTGCCTCCAGGTCCATTACTGAGTTGGGGGAGTATTAGTAGCAGATATAAATTAAAACACCACATGTGGGCCTCCCTGGTGGCGCAGCAGTTGAGCGCTAGGCTGCAAAGCTGCCCGAAGTCTCTGCAGTGCTGGTTTGATCCCCAGCCACTGGCGAAGGTCCCACATGGCGAACAGACCTCTCCTGCCATGCCCGCTGCTCCCCTCAGCAGTGTGTTTCATCAGTCTGCCTGTTCTGCTCCTCGCTCTGGCTCTGGTGAATCCTCTCACCCTCCTGTGCTTCTGACTATACCCAGTGCTTGTATAAATAAATAAATAAATCTTAAAAAAAAAAAAAAAGCATGATAAGTGTGATGGTCAAGAACACAGATGACACAGAAAGACTTGCCATCACCTTCAGATTTTCCCCTAATTCCTTGATTTAAGCTTGCTTTCAGATTTACATTATAAATACAAATTTAAAGTACAGATTTTCTGGGTTAAATGCAATTTGAGAAGATTCAAAGTTCAAGAGGATACTGTCTCCATCGGCAATGCGATGGGCATTAATTACCTGTGGACATCGACAAGATGGAAGGAGAGAAAGAAGAGTGAAAGGGATTTTGTTATTGGGGACCACCTAGGTTATTGCTAGCAGGCTATCTGCACCTAAGACAGGCCCTGATTGCTATTACTGGAATTCTCCTGTCAAATCAAAACAAGGATGGAGGAAATGCGAATGAGGTCAGGGCACAAGGTTTCTGTTAATGTGATTGTAATTCTCATAGGCAGGTGTTTTTACTGGCTGTGCTCGCCTTGGCTTATAGATGTTTCTGGAAAAGAGATAAGGAGATAGGTCGCCAGTATGTAGTCCCAAAGCCTCCTGTTTCTCTATTGCTTTTGGCTCTCTGCTCTCCAAATTCAACTTTTAAACTGATATTTAAAATTTATTGAATAATGCTGTGATGCATTTGAGGATTTTAATTATCCTCTATGTTATCAAGTACACCAAAATTGCTTAATAAGCCTGGAGTTAGAAGACAATAACTTGTACTATACATAGCTATACATGATATGGGTAGCTATAATTTTATTTGCATTTAGCAGACACAGGATTATCAGGCACTGAAAGCTAGACCCTCCCACTACTGGAAATTAGTTAACTCAGAGTATATGGATGTATGTATATGGGGGTGTGTTTGAGTATTCATTTAATTATTTCAGGTTTAGTGTTCTAAAATAGTTATTATTTTTTGGAAAAAGTATAATTTTGGTATATATTTCTTTTTTATAAAGTTGCTTTGTCTGGAGGCAACAACGCACAGAGTGAAAAGCAATCTCATTACTTGTTACCTACTGGCGATGACAGCACTGACATGCGTATACATCAGGTAATATCAAAATTTAATAATGAGGCCTTTTGTAATAGGCCTCATAGGGTTCTTTCATATCTTCGAAGACAAGGGTGAAATTCTATACTAGGATTTAATTTGAGTCACTATTTACATTTCATATCCAAACAACCCTGAAAGTACCAATAGCTACATACCCAATTTCATCCTTATCTTCATTTGAAAAATGGTATTTAATTTCTCCACACAATTCCAAAGGGTATATTGAAATGCTTGGGCCTAATAAAGACAGTCCTTTGGTAGGAATACAAATATTGTCAGATAAATGTCAATCTATGACTGTATAAACATTCTATCTGTCCAGAAAGTGTGTACAGATTGAGACCATTCTGACAGATAAAGAGAACTCACTGAACATCCTGAGACGCATCCTTCATTAATATTTACGTATCTCTTGACAGTGCAATAGCTGAAAGCATAGGGCAGGTAAATATAGCCTGTGTTTGGCAAATATACGTAGTCACAGGCATGCTTCTGGCTAAACATCTGAATACTTGGATAAAAATATGGCTCTGATTATCCCAATTCCCTTCCTTGGCTGTTGGGATCTTGGGCCCAAGGTCTCTGGTGCAAAAGAAAAAAAAGTCCATGACACTTACTATAATATTATAAGCGCTGGGGTCACAGATAGCCAGAGAGTATGCAATTAAAAAAATAAAGAAAGAAACAAAGGGTGGCTTTCATTCCCCTCCCCCATCTATCTTTTTTCTTCATTTTTTACTCTGCTGTTAGCAGTCACTAAAAATATATCTGGTCAATAAGGGGCAGGTAAATTGGAGGCGTTGCTATAGGAACACACAGTGACGCAGAGAAATAACCACTCTAATGGCTACTGTATTCTTTCTTCTGTTGTGTTTCCACTATAGTTAAACTCAACTTCAAAAGACTCTGCATAAGAAAAAGGTGACTTGAAATGCAGGGAACCCTGAGAGAATTTTATACACTAACTTAGAAAGTAATAAATCTTAAATCTAGTAGAGCTACAGGCAGAAAATCAGCATTCCTTCTATTTATTCCATTCTATTTTCAAGGCATGTTAAGTAAAATATTTTTTTTATTTTTGCACAGCGAAAGACCCTGGAATGCATTTTAATAGTGATGAAAGCATGAGTAATGAGGAGCACTGCCTGCAGCAGCCTGCACTGCCTCCCCCCACCTGCTCTCTTCCATCTTGATGGACAGCATCTATGCTCCGGTCGAGACCCTCCTCATTCCCAATTCTGCAGAATCATCGCACCTAGAAACCATGATCGCCTCAAATCTTGTCTTTTCGAAAGGTGACAGACCCTATGGCCTTATTTCCGACCTCCATTTGATACATTCAGTGTAATCGCCCGAGGCAGTTCAGATTGACGTACCAAAACAATTGCACATTTGCCAGACCCATGACTAAGCCTCCGAGGGCCCCAGCTGGCCATCGCAACCACATAACATCTTCGTGAGGGAAGGGGCCTTTCTTCATGGTTCAAACTCTTCCATTAGAGAGAGAATGATTAACTCAGCCAAAAGCAGCTTGTATCTGGTATCTGTTCATTTTCAACTATCCTACTTACTCTTAAGCCGAATTTTCTTCTTCCTCCCTCCCTCCCAAGTTGTGGGTGTAGCCCAGGAGCAAACTAGTCTCAAAATATGGGGCGCAGCAGCCATTTCCAACCCATTGATCTGTTACAAAATCACATCAGTGACATGGCTAGAAGCTAGACCATTTCCTTTCTTCTCTATTAAGTGTGAAAGATCAAATGCTCATTCTTTCCTTGTTTGTTTTTTGAAAGAATGTTTTCTGGTGGGAGAGGAACTGGGGTTCATCTAACATTGTTTTGGCTCTTTGGTTCCACTCTGCAAAGTAGAGCACCTAGCTGAAGTATGGGATTTGAGGCAGCAGGGAACAAGAAGAAACCAAATCCTTGAAAGAGAAAAGTCACACCAAACTTTCCAAGAAAAATGTACAATGTGACAGGAGCAGTCAGTAATATACAAGCAGACCACATGTTTCACCAGGAAACAAACACAGACGATTTGTTGAAGTTGAAACACTCAGAATGTGGGCACTAGTTTATCTGGCCAGAGGGTTAAGATGATGGCTTCTCAGGAGAGTTTAATTCTTAGTGTGTATGCATGTATGTGAGCGTGTGGTCCAAAGGTACATAAAAACAACAGATGTGCCATTTCTTCCTGACCAGAGAGCAACACAGTCACACTCAAGGTTTGTGTTTGTCAACAGTCCAGGACTTGCTCAGTTGAAGCACCTAATAAATAACATGACATTGCTGATGTTTTGGTTAAAATTGTACATATCCTTCTGGAATATGGTTTAAAGACTTTTCCAAGGACTGATGCAAACTGTTCATCCAAAACCTTGCACTGATAAATATTGTGGTTTTCCCAAAAAAAAAAAAAAAAAAAAAAAAAATCAAAAAAAGTCTAGAGTAGAAACAGTTCTTTAGAAAGCCCTACAAGACATGGCAAAACCATGAAGAAAATGAGGAAAATAATGTTTATTTTCTCCTGTTTTAAGTGGAATTTTTTTTTGTTTGTTTCATGTGGATGTCAATGAGAGTGGGGCTTGGGATGGATGAGGGAATTTGTGCCTTCAGAGGCAAATGGGGCCAGTTTATAAATGATCCCTTTCATCTCCCCAGCTGTTAGCTGGAGGGCAATGCTGAATGTTTCATCTAAAAAATGAATTTGAATCGCCCTACAGAATAAGGTTGCAGGGTTCACTGATAGCACTGGATATTATGCCTTCCAATGCAACTCATCTTGTTGTTTTAACTCTGTTGAAAATGTCTAACCACGAAAAGAACACATTTTTGTTTGTCTTGAGAAGATCATCAGCATTTTTTAACAAATATCCCTCTGCCCACACAGAAAAAGAACTAACATTAGGATTCATGACTTGGCTATGTACGTGTACAATTATTCATGATTTACAATTTCTTGCTCAGAACATGCCATTCCTTCATAATCTGTGGGATGTTACAGTCCCCCTGTATTTCCAGTGGTTTGAGCCAAAGGGACCCCTAGACTTTTATTGCTACTGCTGACAAAGTACAGATAGCTCTGCTGGGGTTCAACGCCATCTATAAATGATTCCTCTCCTATCTGCCCATATTCAGAACCCATGAGGAGAGTCAGAAAGGTCAGAGTGATGTGATTCTTAATACTGGTTCAAGTGGCATCAGTAAATAAGGCAAGTGGGATTCACATTCAAGTCACCCATTTAAACTCACCCGCCTACTCCCTAGCTACTGGAAACAAGCAGGGGTCCAGGTGGAGAAGTGGATGTCTCACAGTTAGAAACAAAGGCACAAAAGCTCAGAGAGAAGGGTGTGCATCCGGAGGGCAGCTGGCTCCCCAAGAGAGATGAAGAAGAGAGGCGAAAGGAAGCTGGCCCCTGCTCCACCCCATGTCTCCAGTCAGGTAAATCATTTCTTCTGCAAACTGAGTCAGAGTCTCAAAGGGCCAGTTGTGTCCTCTCCCTAAGGGAGAGGAACAGGGAAGCAATAAGCCAAGGAAAAGAGAACTCCTTCACCTCGACATGGGCTCCTTTGTTGGCCAAATATGCTCCCAAGAAGTGATCCAATGGAAACTCAGCAGTCTGAAATAATTAGTTTGCCTTGGTAAGCTCTTAATTTAATATGGAGGAGTTGCTCCAATACTGGAGAAAATTCAGCTCATTCTTTTCAAATATTAATCAATATTTCTACTACCATAGATCCTTTGATAATAGCCTTATCTCATGGAGCTTGGAAAACTGGTATAGATTTTACAGTTTTTATACCCTTGATATTATTTTATTCTCAGCCAAAATGGCATGTGTTCTTGTGAGTGCATAACAAATATTTTCTCTCTCTCATAACAGACAATTTCTCTCTCTCTCTCTCTCTCTCTCTCTCACACACACACACACACAAAATTAGGTTTCTCAGTCCATTGTACATGTATTATATTAATATTTTTAAAAACAACTTCCCAAATATCCCACCACTGATGCAGTGTGACAAATCTGGTTTTGCGTATATAGACTTTACCTTGTTCCTAGAATGTTCTCTTTGCAACCATGCACAGTGTTTTACAGGCTCTGACAGTACTTCTGAGCCTAATTTTTCTTTTGGTAAGAATGTATGTTTAGAATAAAAATACTTAACCTTTAAATGTTCTCCTTATCTTTGATTTCCAAATACGTTGGTCTAGTCAAAGACTGCATAAATAGAAAACATAACATAAAGAATGACGTGGTTTATGAGTCTCAACTATTCACTCGTCACCACAGAACACGTAACCAGACAACCACACCCCTGCCAACGTGCTATATCCAAAGTGGCCTTGCCTCACTTAGAAGGATGATGGAGTGATCACAATGAGCAATTCACAAGCCCCTATGTGTACTTGGGAAATAATCACTGAACAATTCATATCAGGAGCTGAGGACTCAAAGACAATCCAAGGACTAAACATTTTTTCTGGATTAGCAAAACTTAGCTCTCTGTATTTGTCATAGGAAAGATAAGCAGAATGCGGTTTTCTTGAGTCAAGATGGAGGTTTTGAAGGGTAATCAGTCACATGGAACCAGGGACATGATGGAAAACAATCTTGGAACAAATAGCATACTAGCTCTCTCTTGAAAGAAGGGTAAAATTCAGATAAACTCAAGGAGCAGTTAGCTAATTCAAGTTCAAGTGTGTAGAAGACTTTATAAATCAAAGAATGAGGCAGTGTCTTTGCCTGGCTTCCCCAGAAACCAGAGCTGAGATTTTATAAGCACAATTTTATTGGGACAGTATGTCCTAGTGAGGCAAGTAAGGGAGGCAGACAGGGAAAGGGGAAGAGTCAATATAAGGGTATATTTTGTGGTGCTGCTAAGTACAACCAACTGTTCCATGCCTCAGAACACAGCCACAAAGACCCAACAAGTGGAGAGAAGGTGGGGGAAGTAGAAAGATTTTAATAGCTTCCAACTCCCATTGCTCAAAAGTCCTTTTCATGTGACTTTACTCTCCCACACTTCCAGGTTGGATGTGAGTATGGATACCCAACAGGCTCCCACTGTAGTGTCCACAGTGAAGCCCAAAGCTAAGAGTATAGCGGATATCGTCAATGCTAAAATCAATGTTAGGACACGTTGTTGATGAGCAAGTAAATTGGAGATGCAATTGGCAGAAAGCACTAGAAGTAGGAATGTATATAGCCTTTTGCATTGCTTCAGCTGAGAGGACTATTGAGCAGGACCATGGCTGTGACACTGGGATTGACACTGGGCCAGGAGTCAGGGGATCAGGGTTCCTGTACTGTACAAGGAGGACAGTAAGTTTACCTGTAACTTTGTCTAGATTTACAAAGATTGAGAATCAAACACCAGGGAGAATCCTTAGGTCCATACCCTCAGCTGCATATAACTATAATCTGCCTACTGAAATAAAGTGCAGTTGAGGCCATTACGTAGGTGAGCAAAACTTCCAGGAACTACAACAACCGATAATGAAACAAAAATACTTCTGTATTGAATGAGCAATGTCATTCCCAACTGAGTGCTCCAGGTTGCTCACAATAAACAAATTCCCTAATTCTAAATTCTCAACTACTATTTGCTGTGTACAAAATATCTTAATCTATACCTGCAAAAATGTAGGAACTATTACTTTGTCTATGCTAGCAAACCCAGATGCAAAAAACGAGACTGTTTAGATGATAAAATTATTAAACCCCATTAGATTCATTCATCTTAATTTTTAGCAAATATATGGTCTTTTACCTAGGTTATGAAGATAAGTACCTCAATATGCATTTAACAAGCATGGAGAGATCTCCCTATATTTATCTATATTACCTATATTGAATTACTAGAGCCAGGCTGTAATAATTTTTTCATTAAAACCACCCCTACTGCCCTTTTCTTAAATTTCACCTTCAGTCCACTTCACTGAAACAGCATAGGATGACATTTTCAAGTAGCCAGTAATGCTAATAACTTATTTCTCTGATTTTTGCATATAGTAGATATAGTAGTTGGTCTCTGAACAGTTAAAATAGTATAAGTCTACCCTGGGGAGACCTACAATAACTGAGATATTTGCAGTACTGCCAGTCCATTTCTCTTCTAATTCTGTTTCTTCCACTAATTGCTGGTGACCTTGAGCAAGAGACATAATGGTCTGATATTT